TTTTTTAATTATTATTATTGAAACAAGAAGGAAAAAGATGCCACAGAGATATGAAATCGTTCAAGATGCTGAAATGACCAAACCTTATTTAACCCCCTTAAATCAAGAAGAGAGTGATCCTGAAAAACATGCATTCATTTCAGACACTATAAAAGATACTTCATACGCCTCTTCTTTTTCACTAATGCACAGAATATTTTACTCAAAATATTTAAATGAGATAGCTGCTCAGCACTCACCTTCAGCTATAGCGCAACATCGAGAAAGTGCCCAAAAGATCGGCTGGATTCATTCAAGGCTGTCCCCGCCAGCTGAAATCAAGACCTTGCAAGATATCAAACACTTGATCTTTAACCATGAATTCTACAGACTTCTTATGGTTCTTGCCTGGCTACTTTTGGGAGGATTGATTGAAATATTTTTAGCTCAACTAGGCGATATGAGATACTTTGCAATGCCAGCAACAAGCAAGGTACTTGCTTAATTAAAACACTCATGAATAGCTCATTAACACATGATTGACTTAGCATCCTCTGATTGATCTACTACACGACGTGTTTCCAAGAGTCGAAAACTTCCAAATAGTAAACTACCTACTGACATGCTGTGTTGCTTACACCGTCATTGGATTTGCTATTCAATCACCTGACTGGAGCACTCGTTTTACACTCATTCGAAGATATACTTTTATCCTTGGATGTCTCTATATTTTTAGAGGCATTACACTTCTCGTAACCACACTACCCTCTTCCTTGGTCGATGAATGTAAACCACCAGAGACGGAAATAACGGGTTCTGTCGGAGAACGATTTGGATTTATTTATAAAGTCGTAGCTGGATCAGCGTTCGGTTGCACGGATAACATCTTTTCTGGTCACACATCAGTCATGATGTCGTGCGTCCTTCTGTGGCGTGCTCACTCCAGACTTAGACGACCTTTCAGTTGGTTACTGTATCTTATCGCTTTCACTGGTATGCTTATGATTATCGTTTCAAGATTTCACTATACTATTGATGTCCTTCTTGCTATCTGTAAGCATTAACATTCACGCTCTATCTGTTTAACTTATGCTTATTATAGTCATCACTTATACCACTTGGAATATCTATTTACAATACATAAGAGAAGCATCAACTCGTTATATATTTGGTTTCACAAAGCATGCAGCATTTGATGTCTTTAATACAATGATGGTAGATGGAGCACAAACTTATCAATATCTTGCATGGCAACCTCATGCATTGGGACAAGATTGGCTCATGCACCTGTGTATGTACGTCGATGGTCTGGACATCAAGTTACGTACGATAGGAGTACTGGATGAACAAGGCGAATGGCGTCCAATGATGAACCAACCAAGTTTGACCAAATCTATTGTTTAATCAATTACATATACATATACATAATCATGTACATTTATCATCACTGTTACTATTATTACTACTATTTTCTACTAATACTAATACTAATTGCTCACACTAATATAATAAAAAGTACTTTATTAATTAATCGCTGGTATACCCTTCCTTTTCAAATGCATCCCAATCGAAATCATCATAGTTTTCTTCATCATCATTATTATGATCTTCCTTTTTTGGCACATCTCGACCTTCCTGCTTGGCTAATATCTCATCATACCATTTTAACAATTGACTTTTTTGCTTAGTTGTGAAGCAAGGTACTTTTAATGCATCCTCAATCAATGGAAACGATGACACTTGGTCTGTCAAACCACTTTGTTGAATCAATACACATCAGTCATACGATACTGGCTGATATCATTTACCTTCTGTCAAATACAGTAAAGTAGGTCTCAATACATGCAAACAGTTTGTTCTTTTCTTTATCTGAAAATCTATAATCCTTTTTTGATATAAATAAAAAAAAGGTGCCAATATTATAATAAAGAAAGCCATACTTGGTTCTTGAATATGAATTTCTTTAATGTGTTCATTTGCTTTACTGTCTTTGCTGTGGGTGGTTTGGGTATATTTTTGGTATCGTCATGAAATTGTTGAATGCGTTGCTCCATTGTGAACAAAGAAGGGGAAAGAAAAAGAAATAGAGAAAGAGTGTGTGTGTGTGGCTTGTGTTTTTATTTAAAAATTAGAGTGAAGTAAAGGGCATTTCTTCCGTTGGTTGCAACCTAATTATGTATATCAACAATCACATTCTTCTAATAACAATAATAATTACCAGTTATCTGAAGGATAATGAGCTTCTCCTTCAATGATATGGAAAGTATAAATGTATCGAGAGTTTTTGGAGTAATTAGGTCCAGACTTGTGAACTACACTTCCATGGATGAGCACCAAGGTGCCTGCCTTTACCTCCTTCATTACATATCTCGATTCGTCCACCTTTAATTCTCCATCTCCTATAAATGTTGTGCCTGAGCCTTGAGGATCACGCACAAATCGACGGGTGATGGGTGTATCTAAGAAAGGGTTTATCACTGATACATCAATTCTTTGCTGAATATACCTTTATGTGAACCTGGTATAAACGAAAGACATCCGTTCTCTGCCGTACAGTCTTCCAATGCAAACCAGAATCCAACTGCGGATAATGGTTCAGTGTACAGAAAAGAAGAGTCTTGATGGGAAGGTACTGTTTTCGACAGTTAGACTCGCCTCATCTTTTTCTCTCTCTCTTTTTTTATATTACCCGGCCCACCAATATAGGGTTGTTTAAAGATAATCATTGATTGTAACAGTTTGGGTGATTTAAAACCAAGTTGTCTAGCCATGACTGACATTGTCTCATTCAAGGAAAACTCTCGATAGACAGGGTCCAAAGCATGCAAACCTACAATCAACAGGTAAAAATTATGCATATTTGAGGCCACGCTTAAATTACCATGACCAATCTTGTTGATTGCCCGCTCCTTGGGAATCTTTAAGTTGCCTTGCTCGTCAAAGGCGCCCTCCTCGAAAAAGTATCTTATTTTGTCCCCTGACTCCAAAAAGTAAGCATCGCCAACATGCTTATCCTTTGCTCCTGTGCTAAACTTGGTCATCGGATGTCCCTCAAGTGACATTTCTTCAAGTAATTGCTGAGCTCTATTCTTCAGCTCATTTGCTTTTTCTGTGGAAAAAAAATTTGGAATGACAAGACAACTACATGATGTCAATAGTGAAAGAGAAAGAGAACCTTTTCTTACCCGTCTCTTTCAAACTTTAGACTATTGGTTAATATATAAAAAATAGTATTAAGGTTTATTTACCTGTTCCAACTGCTCGTTTGTTAGCATCTGCATAAAAAATATAAAGAAGGGGGAAAAAACGGGCTTATTTCTTTTCTGTGATGCCGTGTGTACAATGTGTCACTTTGAATATTTATCAGCTTATTTTTCATAAATCATAAAGCAAACTGTTTACACTTTATCTCGCACTGACCACTTTTTGTTTACTGGATATGTTTGAATGTTTGTTATCCACCTCTTTACTTGAAAGTTTCTTTGTTCTTTATTCCTTCAGCTTGAAAAAACTGGGAAACAGTTTCTCATTTATCTATCCTTAGATGCATATGTATGCATTCCCCTTTAAAATGACCTCTTAAGGTAGAGAATTATCATATGAATTGCCCATAAAGCTGGATTCATGTCTATTTATTGATCTGTTACACGAATAGATAAAAAAGTGTTTATTTATTTATGTGTAATCGGATGAAATCCCGAAACACAAAAACATCCTCTTGAAACGCTAACATAACTTTAATATTTGGTTTAATACTAAAACTTGTAACAAAATAATGGCAAATCATATGATAATACTTCTTATTTACTTCGATCTGCATTACTTTTTTTTTTTGAAAAAAAATATTTGTCATGGTAACAGCTGTCATGATGATAAATTGTTGTTTGTTGCTATGTTTATTCTACTTGATAGAGAGCATGGAGAAACTTGCTGGTGCGGTTTACCAAAAGAGTAGTTACCGGAACAATCGCTCCGTTCGGTAACAACAACAACAACAACAAAA